ACACACACACACACACACACACACACACACACACACACACCTGGATTAAGTCATTCCTTTACTTAAAATCTTTCAGTAACTTCTTTCCATCACTCAGGATAGTCAAGAGAAAGTGAAGAGGCAAAAAATCACTAAGGCAACAACAATGAAGTTAGAAAGAAAGCGGTGGATTGAGGAAGCATTTAGGAACAAATACCAGCAAAACTTGAGGAAACACTAGTTTTGTGCAGAGGAAAGGGGGTTTTGTTTATAGTAACAGGGAGGTCATCAAGTAGGGGGAGGCAGAGTGGTCAAGTCTAGAGGTAGATATTTCCAGAGTGTCTATACAGCATCATATAGGTGGTAGGACAAGTCCTTTGAACCAGCAACTCCACCCACAGGAGGCTAACCTTTTCTGGGATTATGCAGAGGGAATATTTGAGGTTCCTCTTTGTCTTTGTCTATTCCAGATTATAGTTTTGCCTTACTTTTGCAAAACCAAAAGGTTCATTGAAGTGTTTTTTCCCAAAACAAAAGATCAATCTGTCCTCAAAGGTAAATTCTGCCTCTACTTCTTCAGAAATGGAAAAGCTGCTGGAAGCTTTAGAATAGCAATTTGTCCTCAACCTCCAGTCATAAAGGTTTCAGAAGGTTGGGGTTCAATTTGGTAGTGCCAATCAAATGTTTTTGTGTGCATATAATTTGACCCTGCAGTTTTACTTTGGGAAATCTATTCTATAGAAGTGTTCATTACAAATATGCAGTGCAACATTGGTGGTAATATTAAAAATTATAAACAATTTAAAAGTACATCAGTTGGGATATGGCTGAATAAATTATGGTCTGTCCATAGTATGAAATACTATGCGGCTATCAAAAAGAATGAGATAGATCTCTGTGTACTGACATGGATTTTCATGACCTATCAGAGGATGAAAAAAGTAGATTTATGTGACTCTGTGTGAGTCATGGGTATATGTATATAAACAATATATACATGGAAGTAAGTCTGGAAGGATACATGCTAGAAATATTAACTGGTTACCTTTGGTTAATGGGATAGGGGAAGTGATACGTGAATATCTAAAGGAAAAAGTTAAAGATTTTTAAAAATCATATGCTACTCTCATTTAAAAAAATGTGAATTCATCAGCTTTCTTTGCAGGCATGTTGGACAGAAGCCTCTAGCGCTTTCCTTTCTTGCAGGCTTTGTAACTGTATTAGCAATTTTTTTTTTTCGAGAGTTTTCCAGACCTCTGGCCCTATCTTCCTTTTGATACACGCTGCAGGATACTTTCCTTACCTTTTCCCTGAGCTAATAAAACAAAACTCAATTTTGTAAGTCAAGACCAGCAGTTTCTAAACCTTATTGGACATCAGAATCACCTTGATGCTTGATTAAAAATGCAGATTCCTGGGCCTGCTCAATAGATTCTGAGTCAGTGTGTCTGGGGTTGGATCCAAAATCCTGCTCTTTGAGAGGTACCCCAGGTGGTCAGTGAGGAACCCTGTTTCAGGTAATGACGTCTGATTGTGCCCCCACCCCCCTAATTTCTCTCTCCTTGATTAGCAAAGGGAACCAGGGAGCAATGACTCAATGTGGATATCTTTGTGGGTCACAAATGGTTGGGTTCATCTGAATGGGAAAAAATGAATAAAACATAGTTTAGTAGACTTGAGAGTTAGGTAATAAGTGTTGTTTCTTTAAAGTAGCCTATTTGAAGCGCACCCTTTGGGTTAGAGGCTGGTCTGGTGGGCAGTGACTAGGCAGTGACCAGCCTCGGCGATACCTTCCAGCGATGGTTTCCTTAGTTATAAGTGGAAGGGGAGGAGGACCATGAGGTCTTAGAATTCAGATGCTTTTTAAGTGAAGTTTCTGTCCTTGGAAAATGATGCTTCTAGTATTAAGATGAGGTACTGTCTATCTTAAGACTATTCTAAGTATTTTTTGTTAGATTTATTATTTTTCTTTGTTATAAACAAAGTCTGTTAATCAGATGCCCACTGTGGATTATTAACATCACAAAAGGGTGTTTAAAAATCGTATACCCCAATTACTCCCAACAGTTAGCTTTGGGAATAAAAAAGTAAATGGTAAGAGCATAACAAATAGCATGGAGGACAAGGGGAGTTAGAGAGGAGAAGGGAGTTGAGGGAAATTGGAAGGGGAGGTGAACCAGGAGAGACTATGGACTCTGAAAAACAATCTGAGGGTTTTGAAGGGGCGGGGGGTGGGAGGTTGGGGGAACCAGGTGGTGGGTATTGGAGAGGGCACGGATTGCATGGAGCATTGGGTGTGGTGCAAAAACAATGAATACTGTTACGCTGAAAATAAATTTAAAAAATTAAAAAGAAAAAAAAGTAAATGGTAATACTTCTCAGCTACCTTCCCAAGCCCTCAGTGAAGCTGGCAGCCATCAGTTAAATAAACCATTAGGTTTATTAGTTTGAGAACAGAACCATCAACTTGGGCACAGTTTTCTAATTTCCTCCTCATTTACCCAGCAGTCATTTATTCAGAGGCTACTCTGTGCCTAGTGGACATTGGATAATTCTACAAATAAAAGCCAGAGACTGATGAGCAGCTGGCACTCTAAGGGGATCATCTGAATGGGAAAAAAATGAATAAAACACCATTTAATAGACCTGAAAGCTAGCAGCACATAGATAGCAGAAAGTGGATTCCTTAAAGCAACAGCCTTGTTCTCTTTCTGTAGTCTATTTTAAGTGGGCCCTCTGGCCCAGCATTATCAACCTTGGATTAGGAGCTTTGAGGAAATAGTGGTTTGGTGGTTGTTTTTTAAAGGATTTTTTAAGAAACTTAGTTACTAAGCAACTGCCATGACCTGCTGCTAAGTTGGAGTTCAGCGGGCAAGTCAATTCCAAAGAAGGGAATACATAAACACGTTGCAAGAGGGGGGAAATGGCTTAGGGATAGATGTGGTATATTTTTTTTCTGGGTTCAATGCATGTTTCTGCCTTCTACTTTATCTTCCCCAAGAAAGGGCTGCCTGGGGGCGTCTGGGTGGCTCAGTGGGTTAAAGCCTCTGCCTTCGGCTCAGGTCATGATCCCAGGGGATCGAGCCCCAAATCGGGCTCTCTGCTCGGCAGGGAGTCTGCTTCCTCCTCTTTCTCTGCCTACTTGTGATCTCTCTGTGTCAAATAAATAAATAAAATCTTAAAAAAAAAAAAAGAACGAAAGAAAGGGTTGCCTGGTCAGAAATCTCTTTGTGTCACCGACTTCTCCTCCTAGCACGTGAGTGAGGAGGAAGACCAGAAAGGAGCCAACAAGAGGCCTGGGGTGGAGGGCTGAGCCCTGGAGTAGGGTCATTTCCCTGGGCAGGCAGAGAGGTAGACAGCCGTGCTGCTGCACCCTTGGGCCATCCAGGGCTTCTATGACAGACCCGTCACCACCCTCTACGTTTAGATCGTGATGCCTCATTGATATTGATGTGTTGCCTTGTAACCCTCAGAACGGGGACTCTGTCCAGCTGCTGTCGTTTTCCCCCAACACTTAATGCGTGAGTCAGTGACTTAACTGCTTCCTGCAGGATTTCAGGGCCGGGAGTAGGTAATGAGGACAAATCACCATAACACCAGTGTGTGATGAATGAAAGAACACACAAATTTAACCAGTTGGCTTCATTGGTACCAGAGTGAAGAAAAAATAAACTTTGTTGAGGATATTTTTGTGAGTTAAAACTCCATCCTCCCCTTAAGGCTTTTTAACATTTCCCTTTATACCCAGCTGAAGGTCAGGTTGCTTTGCTGAGGGAAGGGGAGTGTCAGGTGTTGGAACAGGTGTTTTGTTTTCTGCCTGTAGAGTCATACAGACTAGATGGGGATGCTTCTTGCCAGCCCTCTGTGGTGCATGAAAATGCTTTTGTGGAATTCTTTTTCACTGGAAATGTTTGTTTTTTTCAAAACAGTTCCACAACCTTCAACCCCTACTATAAATTTTGTCTTCCTTTGAAATCTTGTCATAATGAGGTATGCCTGTTTTCTCCCATTTCCACAGCCTGTGCTTTAGATATATCCCATTTTATGCAGCAATTACAGACCTTAAAAATTGTTGTGAGGAGAATAAATGTGAGTTTTTAAATGTGCTAGGAGAATGTCACAGCAAAGCATCCTTATTTTTTTTTAAAAGCCTTTTATAATAATTGTGCAGCTAGGATTAATTTTCCTCTATCAGGTTTTCAGTTGGGTGTAAATGTGTAGTTGCCTTTCCAGAGTGATAAGGCTGTTTCAGGGCTGTTGTGATGGTGGTGGTAGTGCGGTATAAAGCTGGGCATATGGACTTACAACCCCACGGACTAGATGATTTTGGAGGAGAAAGGTGACAGCAGAGTTCTCAGTTTGGGAGAATTTCTGTTTGTTACTGAAGCCAAAGGCCCTGTTTATTAAAAGGGAAATAACCCAGGAGAGCTTTGTCATCTTCTCATCTGATTCTGAGGTTTGTTTGTTTTTACCTTTGTGTACTGGGTTCCAATCTCCCCCTCAAAAAAAAAAAAAAAAGTCATCTAGAAACAAATCGTCTTCGTTGCCTAACCATGATATAATGGCCTCAGGTCTTTTCCAGCCCCTCCGCCCAGTGTCTCAGGGCCATCTGTTCTCTGCAATCCACTTTTTTGGGAAAGTCTCCTTCCCCATCTGCTCTCCTTGGGCCTTAGTTGCCTGCTCTAAAGATTTATGAAGGCTGAGCTGGAACCTCTTTCCAGTTGTTTCTTTTAAGGATCAGTGAGATTTCAAGGCAGATAAAAAGCTTTTTTCCATTTGATATGTCCAAATGTTACTCCTTTTTCAGGTGTGTTTCTTCCTTCTCTTGGTCGGTGAGTGGAAAGACGTCTGTCTGTCTCTGCTTGGAGGAGGGACTCTGCTTATCAAAGCAAAGATTGACTCTGTGCCTCTGGCTGCTTTGAAGCCCAGTGTCCTTCTGGCTCTTCAGGCACTGGCACGCAGGCTTGGTGCAGCTCCTTGGGTTCATTCTTCTCCTGTCTGTTCCCTTGTCTCCCTGACAGAGTACAGTCGCTTTGAATCGAAGATACATGACTTGCGAGAACAAATGATGAACAGCAGCATGAGCTCTGGTTCTGGGTCCCTCCGAACAAGTGAGAAGAGGTCTTTGTATGTCAGGTAAGTCACACTTCTGAGCAGCAGGCCTCAGGCCACGTGAGGAGAGCTCTATGCCGACCCAGCTCTTCCTGTTGAACTAGAGGGCTAGGGAGTGTGCGCTCCCAGTACTGAATGCTCAGGTTGGGTACTTTATGGTCAGTGGCTCTCCTTTCTGCGAGTGAGCTGGCTTCTTCCTCTTTGCTCATGAATGACTCAGTACGAGAAAATTTCAGTTTGCTCTAATTGTAAAAGACTGCTGGGTGATTGTTGCTAGTCAGCATTCAGACAGCACTCAGATGTTCAGAGTACTTTGCCGGCAATCTGTGATTTGAGGAGAAAACTTGGCATTCCCCCCTCCACATATGCATAGTAGACATCAGCATTTGTATCTGAGCTTATCAACTATCACTGAGTTCTGGTACAGGGTCTCTTGGAAGAGACCAAAGAACTGACAGGTTGCTGTTTCTGGGATTTTTTTTTTCAAACGGTGTTTTTTTCCTCCCTGCTGTGCAGGTCTGCTGTATCTGAATCATGGAACTTGGGATGGGATGGTGTATGGGCCCCAGGAAGGGTGGGTGGAGGGAACGGATATATAGCATTGACTCTCTTGCTGCCGAAAGCTATTCTGAGATACTGAGCAAGCTTGAGCTTTTGACCCCTGAAGCACATTTTAATACTTTGGCAGGTCAAAGTACAAACCTCTTGGGGAGTTGGACTGCTAAGTGAACACTCTGGCCTCCTTGTAGAAGTAGGGGTAGTTTTCTTCCTGCCCTAGCTTCTTGGCGAAACTCCAGTGTGGTGCACATACACTGTATCTCTCCAAGGTTAAAATTCTTAGAGTAAGAGGTGCTGGGATTACTCCCCTGAGCCAGAGGTGTTAAACTCTTGGGTTGAACTTTCTCTAGTGGCCTCTGATACCTGCTGGGGGGTTAGGAGGGAAGGCCACATTTGCTAACTGCCTGGCAGTGGAATAGCTGCTCTGTCTTGGTGGTTGGACTTGAGGATAGCCAGTGAGTATACATGCTAAGTGCAGCTGGGCTCCCAGTTCTTGATTTTCTTTTCCCTCAGTGGGTAGTCCCTGGCCCAACTACAGGGAGCCGAGCCCAGGGAGCCCAAGAAGCCCACTAGAACCCTTCATGGTTCTTTTTTTAAAAAAATGAACACTCAGCTTGACTCTTTGTTCAAAAGAGCTGTCTTTTTTTTTTAAGATTTTATTTATTTATTTGACAGACAGGTCATAAGTAGCAGAGAGAGAGAGAGAGACAAGAAGGCTCCCCACCGAGCAGGAAATCTGATGTGGGACTCCATCCCAGGACCCTGAGATCATGACCCGAGCCAAAGGCAGAGGTTCAAGCCACTGAGCCACCCAGGCGCCCCTGATAGCCACTTTCTTAACTTCTGCCCTGCTCATCTACTGCTATGAAGCGGGGAGAGCTGGAGGAAGGCTGTACTAGTCACTGGTGATCTTTTCGGTTTCCTGTTTTCCATCACTATGGCCTTGCTCTGGCTCTGTAGCCTAGACACTGGGCCGGCCACTGATGGGGGAAGCAGCAACGTACTATTGCCCCCAGCAAAAGGGTAATACTTAAGTGACTTGGTCAGGATTGTTCCGTTCCCATGCTGCCAGCCCCCGCAGATGTGGCACTCCAGGGTGCGTGGGAAGCTGCTCTTTAGGCAAGACAGTTTCTTCGGAGAGCTTTATTTTTAGATTTCCTCTCTCCACCTATCCTGTGCTAGAGCTCTCCCTGCCTGGGTAGGGGAAGTGGGGCATTAGCTCCTGACCTCGAAGACCTAGAAGACCTGGAACACCCTCTTCCCTAGCCCTGGGGAAAGGGATACATGGCATCTGACTCCAGGGAGGAGGGTGAACACTGTGCTCTGTTTCTAGGGAATCCGTTTATATGGTTTATATAATTTGCTCTTAACCTTATCTAGATAACTGTGGTGTCCTCTGAGGAAAATAAGTACGCTTTCAAATAACGAACATTTGTGATCACTAGACTTAGTCAAGGGAAGTGTTTTATGAGGCTGAAGCAGTGAGCTGCGGTCTTTTGCTAAGCTAACCCCTACCAGAGCCTGGCTTGCTCTGTTCCCTCTTGTGCCTGTTCGGCGTTCTTTCATTCTGCACTTGGTTCCTTTTCGCTAGCATATGTAAACATATTCAAGTTTCTTCCTTCTTAAAAGAAGAGAGAAAAAACTTCCCTTGATACCAACAGTCCCTTAAACTATTGTCTCTCTTCTGTTCACCACATGTGCCAAATTATGTGCCAGGAAACCCTAGTTCCCTAAGATGTTAATGTATTGTGTGCAAAATCAGCAGTCAGTAAGTTGGGCAAACGCAGTATTAAACACAGGAGAAGAGAGCTCTTTACTGTGGCTCATACCCAGGACGGATTGTACTAGGCAGCATTTCACCAAAAGATAGGAGCCTGGGAGCCCTATTTGGAGAAGCCCATCTTCAATCCAGCTTGGGGAAATGTGGAGTCATCTGTACTTTCTCCTGCTATGTCTTCAAATCACCTCTCTTTCAGTAAGAAAGGAAGTATGTGTCTGCTTTTCACCATGGTGGTATGGTTCCAAGCAACTCCGGAAGGCTCTGGAGGAACAGAAGCCCAGCGCTGTCAGGGACCCACGGTGACCTCTTAGTCATCAAACTCAGTGACTGGTTCACTGATTCTCTGCCATTGGTCTGACCTCTTCACCACATTTGTTCCCATGAATTCCCCGCTTGCTTCCTTAAAGGCTCTCTTCCTACCTTGCTAACTATTCCTCGATATCTTTCATTAGCTCTGCCCCCCAAAATAGCAGTGTCATTTATTTTCACAGATGGCGATCCTGTTGTATAAATGACATCCCTGATCTCTTTAGTGAACCCCAGACCCGCATATCAACTACTTGCTGAACATGTGCATGAAGCTGCACTCCCAGTGCCTCAAATAAGCAGTGTGTTCAAAATTGAACCCCCCCACACCTGCTGCTCCTCAATTTCCTTATCGAAGTTAATTGCATCACCCTATCATGTGGAAAAGGGATTAGATTTGTTCTGTCACCCAAGGCAGATCTGAGCTCCACAGAAGGAAAAAAAGAGCTGATGATTAAGACTGTCTGAAAATGGAATGGACTGCTTCCGGAGGTAGTAAATTTGATCTTCTGTTACTGGAGGTGTTTCAGGAGAGGCCAGGCACCCATTTGCCATTTGCCTGGATGTTTTAAAAGGGGCTTGAAGCTAAAGCAACAATCTGGACATAATCTAATCAGAAGTTTTCAGTAGTTCTTTGATGTCTTCAGGATAAAGGGAAACAAACAGGGAACATCTATGCATTAGGGGCTTTGTGACCCTCTTTAAATTGTAGTTAAAGTCCTTTATTTTCTTTATAGCCTTTTAAAAAATATTTTATTTATTTATTTGACAGAGATCACAAGTAGGCAGAGAGGCAGGCAGAGAGAGGGGGAAGCAGGCTCCCCACTGAGCAGAGAGCCTGATGCGGGGCTCGATCCTAGGACCCCGGGATCGTGACCTGAGCTGAAGGCAGAGGCTTTAACCCACTGAGCCACCCAGGTACCCCGGTTAAAGTCCTTTAAATAATGCTGCAAAGTAGACATTATTCTCATTTTACAGATGAGAAAACAGAGACTCCAGTTAGACGGCCAAGAAGTTCCAAAACTGGAATTTCAACCTGGTTGTTCTGACCATGGAGCGTGGGTGGTTCAGCATTTCCCAAACTTGCGGATAGGAATCAGCCGGCACACTAGACAAAATACAGATCCCCAGGATCCTCTTTTATCACTTTGGAGTCAGTGGGTTTGGGGAAATGTATTCTTCTTTTTTTTTTTTTTTTAACAATCAGAACACTTAGGAATAACCAGTTGTTTGTCACAGTAGCTATTTATTTCTGTTTCCCTTGAACAAGCTAACATGACACTTACGGCAGCTCCTATTATGTGGAAATCAGGAGAGCACAGGGCGGAGACTCGGGGCATGGTGGTGGAGGTAGATTCAAGGAAGCAGCGGATGTGGGTCCTGCTCTTCGACAGCTTGCCAGCTATGCAGAAGACACTGCGCAGCAGGTGGTTTGAGTGAAAAGAGACCTTTTCGGTTAGGGTTTCACCTCTGATTCTTTTAGCTGTTGTTTCCCCTCTGATATGTTTCTTCTCCCTTCCCTTCTCCCAAGTGTCTGTTATTCTCTGGTGTGCATGGGTTGCCAAGCAAGCAGCACTCTCTGATAGTGTCACAGAGCCTATAGCAGTTGGAGCCCTAGGGAGCTGCAGCTGTACTAACAGGAGAGAGGAGATGGGGTTTGCAGAGCAGGGGAGCCAGGAACGGGAAAGAAGGAAAGATTGCAGTGTTCGGAGAATGTGACTTGGTTTTAAGAGCACTAGTGACTTAATGGAAAGGCCTTTCCCAGCCTTCACCACAGTAGCCTCATCTCTTCAATGGTGTAGATCCTTCAATACGCAGGATGAGCGGAGCCCATCTTTCTGCCCACACTACGGCTTTTGCTCTGCTAGTGAATTTGCCCTCCACACTGGAAAAGTTCACAGAAGTAGGCCTCTCTTGAGCCTCTTGCTCAGGATCAGGGTGGTTGGGGTGTTTAATTCAGGTCATTCTGATGTGAAGGGAGTATGAAAAGACACAGGGTAGGTGAGAGTTCCATGGACCCTCCAAGTTCTAAACTTGTTCTTTTTTTTTTTTTGTCTGTTTCTTGAATGAATGAACGAATGACCTTGTTCTCCAAAGGCTGCCAAGAGGCCTGAGAATATATTTGTAGAATGAATGTTTACAAGTCTCTTCTGGTCAGGCTGGGTACATTCTTCATAGCCACAGGACAACATCAGGCAGACCTTTGGGGAGTTCCGGCCTCCTGGCTGGCCATCTACCATTCCGGTCTGCTTCCTACTCGAGGAAGGAAATCATGTCGGGCATCTGTAGTCTCCATTCCGGAAACTGTGTCAGAAATATTGGCTTGGGGGCACCTAGGTGACTCAGCTGGTTAGGGTCTGCCTTCAGCTCAGGTCAGGAT